GGAGGGAGGAGAGTCAAGCCAACACCTGTTTAGAATACACCTAGGGCTGAAGAGGCAGGTCATTCATTGTTGGTACTGCCACGGAGTTGGCTATCTGAGCTGTCTTGTGGGATTACAGGCAGATGAACTGTTCAACAGAGGACTGAGGGCTTCGGGATACCCTCTCACGTGTTTGAGCCACATCCCAGCATCCCTAGAGGCCCCCCCACCCCACTCCAGACCTGGGTCATAGAGGATCAGGCCTGATCCTGGCCGCTTGTGCATCAACTTTGACACAAGCTCGTTTCTCTTTCTTCTTTCCAAAATCTGTGTTAGGCAGGAGGGGTGCCAGGTTGGTCTGGTAATCTTGGCCAGGGCCCTTGATTTCACTAAGCCTCCTCCTTAAGATGGAACGAAAGGGGCTGGACAGATGGCTCAGTGGTTAAGAGCACTAGCTGCTCTTCCAGAGGACCTGGGTTTGATTCTTAGCAGCCATTTGTAACTCCAGTTCCAGGAGATCTCATTCCCTCTTCCTGGTGTCTATCAGCACCAGGTACCATGTATCACGTAGATAAATATGCAGGCAAAACACTCATTCACATAAAACTAAAGTTTAAATGGAGCTAGCATTAGATGGGACCACATAAATTTGCCATCTTTACAGCTCAAATGCTGACCGCGTCATACGGCTGAGCCTAGTAGTGCCTTCCTGGTGTGACTGGTGGATAGCTTCAGTAGGATGGCACGTGAAAGTCAGTATTTCTTCTGCCCTGAGTCTCCTAGGAAACAAGAACTCTCAGGGTAAGGTAGGGCCTTGCCTTCTTGTCTCTCTTCTCGAAGATGGGCGCCTGTAGCCCGTCTTTCAAAATTCCGCCCCACTTTGTCCCTCCTACCTCAGGGAACTGACCTCCTCTCCAATCCAGATATCTCCCAGGTTGTCCGTGGGGGTATGCTCACAGGAGCGATTTTTGCATGTTTGTTGCCCCTGCCTTCTCTGTGTCTGTCTGGAGCCTCACCTTTAGGTAGAATGGGTGGAGGAAGCACACAGTATCATTCTGAGCGGTCCGGAGCTAATCAGGGCCTGTGGATAGGATTGGTGATCAGCTCTGAGATACGCAGAGTGGGACTGTGACCCCTTCCAGCCCTGGGGCCAGAGAAGCCCTTCCTTACAGCTGGGCTATGAGCAGGACAGGGTACCATGGGACATGATGGCACCACACATGAGAGCTGTTCGGGGCCAGGTGCTAGTAAAGGATCAGTGTGGGTAATGGGTCCTGGCATATGCTAAGCTACTGCCCATCTTGCCTCTGGGTTAGCACCAGGCAGCCGCCGTCAGGTAGAACGAGAGGCCTGGCCATGGGCTGTGTTTTCCTGTGGCCAGCTCCTGCTGGGAGAGAAAGTCCCTTAGGATGGAGTTGGTGGAATGAACGGAAAAGAAATTAGTATGTGATGGATACCTGTGAGCCAGTTTGGCCTTTGGTACCTCTACCTCCCAGGAGGTGGTAGAGAAAGTTCATGAATGGGACCTTTTCCCATTCATCAATTACATCATTTGCCCAAAGAAGACAGACACTGACCTGAAAAATGTCCAGAGAATAGGGTCTCCAAATCCCCCTTTCCTACTCCTCCCCGCTTCTTTGTCAGTCCTGCTCCAAGAGTGAGCCAGACTGCCCTGCAGCATAGGCGCCACACACTCTCTGTCTCACATCACTGATGAACTTGTTGCCAGCCATTTGGAAATCTTGGAGCTACTGAGCAGCCCAGTCAATGGACCATTGAGACCATTCTTACTCTCCTCACTACAGTGGCTGACAAACCTTGTGATATGCTACTCCTCAGAACTCTTCTCAGAACCTCCCTTTCCTATACCTTTTTCTTCTCCCTGTAGAAGAACACACTTTTCTTTTCCTCATGGAGAATCAACAAAGAAAACATTTCCACATTTTCTTTTCTTTTTTTAAAACTTCTTTATTAATTACGCTTTATTCACTTTGTATCCCCCCTGTTGTTCCCTCCCTCCTCCCATCCCAATCCCTCCCTTCCTCCACCCTCTGCATGCAATGGAATGAAATTCTTCATTTCCACATTTTCTAAAGCTATTCCCCCCGCAATAAAATTAAGTTTTGATATTTTTTTTTAAAAAAAAAGAAAGAAAGAAAGAAAACAAAAATTTCAGTGATTTGCAAAGCCTGATGGGTGGCAGAGCTGTTATTTTACCCCAGCTGATGGGTGGCAGAGCTGTTATTTTACCCCAGCACAAGTATGTAGCCCGCTGGCCTGTGTAGGATCCTGGCATGGCATTTTGCCCACTCCTTACACACAGGCGATGGTTCCATCTGTGTGGCAGGGAATCCTGTGGTTGACCACAGAAGTTCTCAGATGACCTGGAGACTAGGCATAGGCTCTTGAATGGAAAGTCTCCTCCACTCCCTGTTGTCCTGTGACCTGCTCCCTTCAACCTCATGGTCTCACTCTGGTCATTCCTAATCTTAGTCCCTTTAGTCCTAATTGGTGATGGATAGGCTGGGTCACGATAGCTTCTTCTGAGGCCTTAGTGGCACCTAGTCTTTCCTTCCTCGCCTGGCTCTATTCAGATGCACCCCTCAAGGATACTCCACCTTCAGCAAGGACTCAGCTCTCCTGATGACCTGGGCTCAGGGTTTAAGTGACTGGTCAGCAGTGCTGGTCTGTGATGTCCTGGCCCATTCCTATTCTGTGAATTAGTGTTCCCCTGGTTTCTCTGAGAAAAAGGGCACGAGCCGAGTAAACCCCGGCATGCTGCCCTTTTAAGTGTCCCTTTCCTTCTGTCTTGGATGTTTCTGAGGCTCAACTTACTCTACATCTAAGTGATCTTTCTGGAATGCTCATGCCCTTCTGGAAGCCTTCCAGTGGCTCATCCATCATCCCTGGCCTGGCTTACCTCGCCAGCCTCATCATTTCTTCTTTCTTCTCTCTCCTTGGGTCCAGCTGTTCCGAACTGCTTGCTTGTCTCAGGAGGCTACTGTCTTTCCTGCCTCTATGCCTCTGTGTGTGCTATTCTCTATACCTCGGGCTTTCCCCTCTCCTTTATCTCTTTTCAGCCTGTGAGCTCTAGATTCTACACCATCTTGTCTTTCTCCCCGCCCTTACCTCCATCTCTCGCCTCCCAGGTCATAGGTGCCCACAGTACTGACTGTGGCAATACCATTGTGGCTTTGAGGTTCATCTGCATTCCCCCTGATCAGTTCTTCTGTCTGGGAGGGCCCTGGCTGTATAAGGTGTCTCAGTCCTTACCCTAGGGCTTGGCTCCTGTGGTCAAGCAGATGAACAAAGCAGTGATCACTGCCTGGAGCCTTCCCTGTCTGCCAACTCCCTTCTGGTCATGCTGGTGTTGCCCTACCCCGATGTCCTCACCCTGATTGATGGTCAAACATAGTCTGGGCTTCTTTTCCTTTTGGGCCAGTGCACCTGCCACAGATTCATGAGGCTATGGCTTATTTTTTCTCTTAGCCCTTGTGTTTGGATAGGAATATTTCATCTTATTATATTTGGCCAATTTTTTTTTCCCCAGAGGATTGTGGTTTCAGCCAACTCTTTTCCCCTGGAAAGCTGTCAGCCCAAATAACTAGATTGTAAACTGTCAGTTACATTGATTTACATTGTAAATGGCCAGGTGAGACTCACTTCTATAGGTCAGGTCAAATAAACAGCGAATGACATTTTTGACAGTTGGGAAACCAATTTTATTGATTTTTGGCTAATTTGCCCTTTCTGTCAAAACTGCACTTGATAACGAAGATAAGTGTATTTTGAGAGTGGGATGTACATTCAAAAAACAAAACAAAACAGGCATGGCTGATAGATGGCATCAAAGAATTATTTTTAATAGGCTATTCTGCTATAAAAACCATTTTTCAAAATATGGTCTCTGAACTGTGTGCAGCAAAATCCTACCAGCTACTTCCCAAAATACAGATTCCATGGTTCCATCCTAGAATGGCTTAACTCTTTCTCCTGGTGAGGGGCCCTGGAATGTTCACTCTGAACATGCCCCCCGCGATGACCCTGATGTTCAGTGAAGCTTGAGAATGGCAAGCCTGTGGGATTGCTGCTGCCTGGAAAGCCTGCGTGATGCTTTCTAAGGGTTTGTGCAACAGGAGGGTGGATGATTCTCCGTGTTAGGCTGCTTATTACTGCCATTACTGCCTGAAGGGTTTGGAACCCAGCGTCTGAAGAGTCAGTTAGAGGATGCGTTTGCTCAGGAAGCCCAAGAGGAAGGTCCCGGGGGTGGAAGTGCGTCAGGTGACTTGAGCATAGTGATGTTGGTGACCAGGTGTGCGCAACATGCACTGTGGGCAGCATGGGGAAGGCAGTGTTCTGACGAATCAATCTTCATTCCTTCCTGGATGTCCTCACCTTCACCACATGCCCCCTCAGATACAAGGCTGACAGGGTGCTAGGGTGAAACCAGGAGGGTGTGCTGTGTGCCAAAAAGTTCAGGTTCCATGGGTGTCATGAAAGACTGGGAGAGTCACTGTCTAGGATCTATTGCTGTCTTTGTTGGAATGAAGGGCTTTCCATGCTCCAAGTTCTTTATCATCAGCGCAGCCTCAGATCCTGAGGCCCGAGGGAGCTTGTTGGGCAGATTATGACACCAGACAGTCTGATATTTTATCATCTGTGTGAATATGGGTAAATGGCTTCCTCTGTGGATTTTAGATTCTTCACCAACGGACTGAGTTGATAATACTTGTCAGAATAAAGTAGCTAATATGCAAGGCCCTGAGCACAGTCTCTGGCTTGCAGCAAGTGTTGCCTACAAGGTAGAGATCATTGGGTACCTGTCTCTCTCCTTAAGCCTCTTATGATAGCTCTCAATGCCACAGGATAGAAGCAGCTAAGAACCTTCTCTTCTTGCTCTTATTCTTACCTGGATTATATCCTGGAAGCATGGTTCCTGAGTCCTTTTTGTTTGCTTTGCAGGCTGCATCTCTAAAGTGGGCCTTTTAGTCCTGGAGTTCGTGGCTCTTCTCACAGCCACCATGAATACCTCTCATTTCCTGGCCTCCCTCTTTCCAGGATTCCTACGGGGCACGAATGGGACCAATCCAATGGATTTCCTCTACAACTTCTCTGACGGCTGCCATGATTCTGCAAACCTGCTGGCCTTCATCATCACCACCTATAGCATCGAGACCATCTTGGGGGTCCTGGGAAACCTCTGCTTGATATATGTGACCACAAGGCAAAAGGAAAAGTCTAGTGTGACCAACTTACTCATTGCCAACCTGGCCTTCTCTGACTTCCTCATGTGCCTCATCTGCCAGCCACTCACAGTCACTTACACCATCATGGACTACTGGATCTTTGGTGAAATCCTTTGCAAGATGTTAACCTTTATCCAGTGTATGTCGGTGACAGTCTCCATCCTCTCATTGGTCCTTGTGGCCCTGGAGAGGCACCAGCTCATCATCAATCCAACAGGCTGGAAGCCAAGTATTTTCCAAGCCTACCTGGGGATTGTGGTCATCTGGATCATTTCTTGCTTCCTCTCCTTACCCTTCCTGGCCAATAGCATCCTAAATGACCTCTTTCATTACAACCACTCAAAGGCTGTAGAGTTTCTAGAGGACAAAGAAGTCTGCTTTGTATCCTGGTCCTCAGACCAGCACCGTCTCATCTACACCACCTTTCTGCTGCTCTTTCAGTACTGTATCCCTCTGATCTTCATCCTGGTCTGCTACGTGCGCATCTACCAGCGCCTGTGGAGGCAGCGGCACATGTTCCATAAAGATGCTTGCAGCTCACGAATGGGACAGATGAAGCGGATCAATGGCATGCTCATGGCCATGGTGGCTGTCTTCGCAGTTCTCTGGCTGCCCCTGCATGTGTTCAACACATTGGAGGACTGGTACCAGGAGGCCATCCCTGCTTGCCATGGCAACCTCATCTTCTTGATATGTCACCTGTTTGCCATGGCTTCCACCTGTGTCAACCCTTTCATCTACGGCTTTCTCAACACCAACTTCAAGAAGGATATCAGGGCTCTGGTGCTGACCTGCCATTGCAGGCCACCCCGAAGGGAGTCTGAGCATCTGCCCCTGTCCACGGTGCACACGGACCTCTCCAAAGGCTCTCTGAGGCTAGGTAGCAAGTCCAATTTCATATAGTTGTATCTAGGCTTTTCCCCACCATTTTCCAGTGACAGACACTTTCACTTAGCTAAGTAGACACTTTGCAAGTTGTGGGTAGCATCCTGTCATTTCTGGCTTTTGAGGCCCAGACAGGCTGGCAAGAGACTTGAAGCTTGGCAATCAGGTGGTTTAGCCATTTGCTTCTGGGAAATTTTAGAGTCCAGATTCTGCAAGTCACACAGTGAACTTTGCCGCTTAAGCTGCAGGGTGTTGGAGCCAGAGGTGGCTCACTCTAATAGTCACCTAGCACAGATGCCTGACCTAAAAGCCTTCACCCACATCCTGACCAGTCAGCTAACTTGCCCTGGGTGATGGGCTGTGCTCTTTCACGGGATGCTGGGAGCTCTGGTAGTCTTCAGCAGTAGCAGTTTCGTAGAAGCAGGTCCAGAGTTGGGAATCTGTTTAATAAAACTCGCTGAAAGGAACAGGAACAATAGGAATGGGCAACGATGAATATAGCTGTCTCATCTACGAGGGCCAAAGTTCAGTGTCCTTCCTGGCTGCGGAACTGGGTCCAAGGCATCCTCAGTGTGTGGACTAGACAGCTTGTTCTTGGAAAAAAGGAAATGCCAAGATTTCTTTTGGCCCACGTAAGACAGGATTTTGCAGCCCAGTTCTGTCTGTGTAGAGCAATCTTCCAATACAGTGAATACACCAGTCCCGTGGGAAATTTAAGCCCACACTGAGCAGGTCTTATGGACATTCCGGTCCTGGTCCCTTACCAAGCATGTGTGCAGCTGACGTCCAGGACAGGTGCTCTTGGTGCCACTGCTTCTTTCTGTCTTGTCACAGCTTTTGCCCTCATCTCCAGCTGAGCTCCTTTGTTCCTGGATTTTGAGACAATTCCTTTTCTTTTCTTTTTCTTTTTCTTTTTTCCAAACTGGGTTTTACTGCATAACCAGGCTTGTCTAGAGCTTCCGTCAGGCCTGCTTTCTCAGCACTGATAAAGGCATAAGCCATCACACACGATGAAAAACGAGCTTTTGAAGCACTCCTGTTATCTGGTACAGTCTATTGCTGACTATTTCAGGTGACCAACTTTGAGCAAAGCTCAGGCTCTCAGGCCCACCCTGGCAAGATGCCATTATCCAAACTGCACAACAACCTGGGGTCTCAGACTTCTCCAGATAGGGTTCTGGTTTCTGGGATGTACACTTTTCATGAGTTAGGCTCAATGAGGCTAGGATGCCAGTGGTCCAGATTAGATATTTAGCGAGGTGTGATGTAGAAGCACCACTGAAAGTGTTCTGTTTTCCTCCCCGCTTAGTCAGGATGACATTCGCCTGCCCTGACAGCTGTCTCCTGACTCTGTAATCCTGGTGTGCTGGTATCTGAGGGCCCTTGAGATTTCTTGGTTGCCAGCTTCCTTGATGTTTGCTCTCCGAAGTGTGGTCTGAGGACCAGCAGACCTCACCTCTGGAGGCTGTTGGATAGAAGAGCCTTTGTTGCCACGGCAGATGTGCTCAATCTGAATCTGCATTGGGTCAAAATGCATAGGCTACTTGTAGGTGCACTGCAGTCGGGAAGCTCTGGGAAACAGATCCATCTGGGCTTGGGGTTATTGGGTGAGAACCTGCAGACATGCACTCTGGGGTCTGGAGTGGATCCATGTTCTGAACATACCTTTAAGCTTTGAGTTGCTGCTGAGGTCTCTTCTGCTTTGGCTGCATGTAGACATATTCAACAAATACTTGCCAAATACATAGATTGTCAAGTTCCAACCAGAGGGAGCCTGCCCTTTGCATTCTTCTCAGTTTCACTTAAAACTGCACCGTTAGCAAATTTCCCATCAGTTTTGATAGCCGCTTACCAGAAACTGCTCCAGTAAAGCCGGGACCTCAGGATTTCTACGTAACTCCTCGCAAGGTGGGTAGAGGGGGTGCTCCTATGAGAAGTTAGTAGCTGCATGGAGGGGTGTGAGGATTGGAGCTGAAAACCTATTCCCACAAAGAAGGCCTGGGATTTCAGAGCCTATGTGAAGCCTTGTCAGACCCTGGCAATAAGAGCTCAACTCGGTTTCACTCTAGCCTTTTCCTCTTAAATGAGCAATCTTGACTTGCTTTTTCCTTTATAAAAATAATAATATTCAAAGGTAAACATATTCACAAATAAAGTGAGGAAAAAGATTGCCACTTGAGGGGCTCTTTTCGTTAGTGTATGCATATGTGTGTTTTGAAAATATGATTGAAATTAAAACGTGTATGTATTTCTATTTACATGTACATACTATTTAAGGATCATGTACATACTATTTAAGGATCGTTTCATCTGAGGCAGGGCATTGCTATATGACTTAGGCCGCTATAGAACTAACTGAATAATCCAATGCATGATTCTCCTGCCTCTGTGTTTTGAGTGCTGAGATTATAGGCTGATACCACCACAGGTGTCTTAATTTGATTTTGTTGTTTCACTTCAGGAATTTTCATTTCATTTCATTTCATTTCATTTCCTTCCTTCCTTCCTTCCTTCCTTCCTTCCTTCCTTCCTTCCTTCCTTCCTTCCTTTCACTAATGTGTTCATCAACTATGCTAGATACTGTATTAGCTGTAAGGGGTACAATGGTTAATTAGCACAATAAGGCCTGTTATCACTATCTTTAATTATTCTGAAGCTATGTTCAGGTTGTAGCCATAAAACACATAGAAGATGGAGGTGATAAAGAGATTTATTTATTTTAAAGAAAGATTTATTTTTAGCTGGAGTCAAGTGTAAGTACGTGTATCTATGTGTTGGTTTGTGAACATGAATGCAGGTGCCCGTGGAGGCCAGAGGTGTGGGGGCCCCTGGAGCTGAGGTTATAGACAGTTGTCCAGCACCTGATGATGTGGTACTGGGAACACAATGAGGGTCCTCTGTATGATCAGTACCTGCTCTTAATGCTGGCCATTTCTCCTGCCCTGGGCTGCTGTTGAAGATTTACCATGAGCACCAAGTCTTTATTGAGAATTACCTGGACTACATGATATCTCTTTTCTTTCTTCTGTGATCTACCCAGCCCATGAACACTCCTTTCTAAGTTCATCTGTTATCTCTCTGTGAAGCTGCAGGGGTTCCATGTGGCCATGCCAGACAGTGGTTGTTATATGAATGAGAAATGACTCACTTAGCTCATTTATTTGAATACTTAGTTCCCAGTTAGTGGAAATGTTTGGGGAGGTTATGAAACCTTTAGGAGGGAGACCCTTGCTGGAGGAAGTATGTCACTGGGGTGGGCTTTGAGGGTTTATAGCCTTGCCATACTTCCTGTTCTCCCTTCTGACTTCCAGTGTGTGAACAAAATATGATCCCTCGGCTTCTTGTTCTAGCCTCCATCTTTCCCCTGCACTGTGGACTCCATCCCTCTGAAATCATAAATCAAAATAAACCCTTTTCTTTCCTATCTTGCTTTCTGTCAAGAGTATTTCATTACAGTAACAGAAAAGTATCTAATGCAACTGTATAATTCATCATCTAAACTAGGGTCCTTGAGTCCTGCTAATAACCATTCTGGGACAACAGGAAAAATTACCCCAGGAAACAGGTATGTGAGATGGTCCTATTAATAAGCCCAACCCTTTAACACAGCCTGACCTCAGCAGTTCTCTCCAGCCCACTGTTCATGTCCTTTTGTCATATGGTCTCATCTCAAAGGACATACAATTCCTCAGCACGCCTGGGCTTTATTTTCTGTGAATTTACTCCCCGTCCTTTTCCTCCTGCCTTCCCGAAACCCTCCGCCCCACCAATGACTAATACTTCACTCACCGCCTGGGTAAGTCTAAAAGTGGGATCACTTTTCCTTCAAAACACAAGCCCACTGTCACTATTCATTATTGCACACATCCCACAAATACTGATTTTTATTTACTTATTTTTTAATGCTGATTATTATTATGCGCTCATTATTTAGTAAACACATGGCAAATAAGACTGAAAACAAATTATCATCAAAACTGAGGAAATACTGCCTTTTATGGACCTCATGACTTATGTATGGCCCCAGGGATGGGCACTGTGATTCAGGGCACAGTCTCCTGTGCTGTGGCTCTCAGGTTCAAATAGACATACCCATTATCTCACAATGCTGTGAACTCACTGAGAGCAAATCCCAGGAAGCCATTCTTACATCCCTGAAACTCTCATATGCCCTTTATAGAGCCTGGACTCAACAAATGTTGGCCAAGAACAGAATGCAAGAAGGCTATTTACTTAGCGTAAAAAGGACTTTTTTTTTTTTAAACAACCAATTCAGTGTTCTCCAGATTAATTGATTAATTAATTAATCCTGTGCCGGATTAATCAAAGAAGAACCTGGATCTCCATAGACCCTAACGAACTTCCCACCCATTCCTCAAATTTTGTAACTTAGAAGGGGCATTGCTGAGTAATCATGGCTTATTTTCTCCTTGTTTAAATGTCGCCACTTCCTTGAAATCTATTCCCCTTGGCTGGGAAGAGAGCTTATCAAAGTGTTGAAGAGGCCAGCCGAAGGCCCTCTTAAATGCATATCCCTTCATAAGTGTGTGAATAGGGCAGTCAGTCATTATTCTGACTTCCAAAGAAATCAGATTGGAAATAGGCCATACATTCAGAACAAAGAATACTAGCCTGTTGGTAGAAACTTTGAGATAGCCCCTGTGGGGTGTCATTTGCACCCTTTTGTACAGGGTGGATGGACACAAATTTCCCTAGAGAAAAGGCCTCTTTGGAGAACCCTTTGGTTGGGGTTCAGGGGTTCCTCAGTTGGTAAAGTACTTGCCATGCAACTCTGAAAAACTGAGTTTGAATTCTAGAGCTCACACACAAAGCCAGGCATACTGGTGTGTACTCCTAATCCAAGAGCTGGGAGGCAGAGACAAGCAGACCCTTGGTGTTGCTGGCCTGCCAGTCTAAGCCAGTAAACAAGCCCTCGGACCTAGTGAGGGACCTTGTCTCAACAAACAAGAAAGATGGCTCTTGTGCAGCAGTTCTCAGCCCTTCTAAAGATGCGGCCC